ACAATGGCAATACGATAGTAAAGGGCTCCCAAGTTATAAAGGAGCTTGCTGGGCTTCCTCAAAAAGTGAGTAATCAGATGGTTGTCATATAATAAATTTTCCTGTCCTCACTTAGCTGTTGAACAATAAAATTATGTTAGAGGCATGTGGCATCTAACTGTATATACTTCATTAACATGATATTTTCAAAGAACAATAACAGAATTTCTGTGCACTTGGAGAGAGGTAAATGAAAAATATTTCCTTTTGTTTTTTACACTGTCAATTCTTCCTTCATTGGTGAGCCCAGTTACAAAGCCATGATGTGACTATGAATTCTTAATACTGCTCCCTAGGTAATTTGTACTTGGGCATTGTTTTCTTAGGTAGAACTACACTAGGGTTAGCAGTGATGTTTTCACCAGCACAAGCACAAATGGCTCATGTCTTATATATTCTGGCTGAGAAGGTGAAATTTCAAGGAATTCATTCAGTCCATGAGCAACCACTCACAACCTCCTAATATAAAAGTCTACATCATAAAAATGCAATAGATAAGAGACCACTTGATTTGATTACTTCTTTTTGTTGCCTTAAATTGCAGTAACTGAAGCTGGAAAGAACTAGACTCATGAAATGGCAAATAAGAAGTGTTTACTGGACACTACACTACAACCAGGTTATACCATAAAATGTAAGTGGAATTAGTCCTTAACCTAGGCTGCCTTTTGTGACCGTCGTCACAGGGGTTCTTGGGTGAGGGGAGAGACGATAATGTTGACTCCATGTTCAGAAGGCTTGATTTATTATTTTATGATATACATTACATTAAGACTACATTAAAGAATAGAAGGAAAGGTTTTCCTCTCAGAAGGCTAGCTAAGAATAGAATGGAATGAATAACAAAGGTCTGTGGCTCAGACAGAGAGTCCAAGCTATCTGGTCTGTGGTCGGCCATTAATTGTAAACATTCAAGATGGCCCAATCACAGACACACCTGATGCATTCCAGAGCAGCAGATAACCATTGTTTACATTTTGTTGCTGTAGCTTCTCAGCTTCTCAGCAGGAAAAATCCTAAGAAAAGAATTTTCACAAAAGATGTCTGCAACAGCCTTTTCCTGTTTAAGATGACAGGTGATACAATTCTGGATGCAAGATACTAAAGAACAGAAAGTCTCTATTTAAGAGAGATGTGTTGTCACAGGATTTCCATCATCTCTACCTCCTTCTCCAAGCCTTCTAACCCCCAAAGTGGGTAAGCACAGCTCAGACAAGGGATATGTAAATCACACAGGATTGCTTTGTCCAGTCATACAATGCATACAATGAATGCAAGGCCCCCTAATTAGACAAGTACTGTAAACATACAACTTTCAGTCTAATCTTTAAAACCTAAAAGTTTTTAAAAGTCCTTTCCAGTTACATCCCAAATAAGTATTTTCTAGCAGCTGAAAGTTGCATCAGGTAAGAGCGTTCACCTGTGTCAGGCCAGTGCTGGTAATTGCCAAATACTTGTGGACCTTTGTGTGTATGAAACTCCTTTCAATCCCTATTCCCAAATTCTTGCTAATTCAACTGTGAGGTCACATATCCTTGCAGTGCAACCCCCAATGTTCAGTGACCCAGCCATGCTGGTGACCACTGTCCTTGAACTAAAGCCATGAGATAACACAGGTGAAGCCAGATCACATTAAAAAATATCTTAGTAACAAAAAGCAGCTTGAGTACCTTTCCCAATAACTTCTGATTCCATGGGTTATGCTGACACCCAGTTCACGCACACACTAATAATTTTGTGCTTAGCCTTGGATATAATTAGTAAGAGAGCCCATAAAGGAGTTCCCAGTGTGATGACAGATTGTGTTGTCCTTAATTCAGTGCTGCCTCTATTAATGCTATTTACCTTCTCAGCGAACAGCCCACCAAAATGAAGGTATGATTAAGGCAAAGGCAAGAAGGAGTTTAACACATGCCAAGAATGGATAATGGAAGAGGAAAGGTAGGAAAATAGAATCAGAGAATAGTTTGGGTTGGAAGGGACCTTTTAAAGGCCATCCAGTCCAACTCCACTCTGCAATGAGCCAGGACATCTTCAGCTAGAAGAATAAGTATCAGAAATAGAAGACATGTTGGCCTTAGTCCAGCTGGTTATAGCTGGGTGGCTTCAAGACATAAAAATAGACATATAAACTTGAAGTTTCACAGTTTCTGCAGTTTTTATCATATTGTCATTGTCAGGTGACTAGTTATCTCCAAATCTCAGTAGCTCTGGAAGGAGAAATTCTGAAGGATATGAAAGTGAGAATGGAGATTGCGGGAAGGATGAAATACTTGGCAGAGTCCTCTTTGAACTGGGCTCCCAAGTGTAGTGGCAGCAAGGCAAAGATAACCTGTGTTTGTCAACTCAATTAAATGCACATTCTGTGTAAGAATTCTGTATCGCTCTTACTTACTGATTTTTATTTTATTGCATTAGAAGCAAGGATATTAATCTTGCTCCATGCAAGAGCTCTTATTTTGCCTTCTAGGACATTTGGAAGTATTGCTTTTAGTTTAAGAATACATTTTTATTCTCAGCATGTTGCTTTCTCCCCACCAATATTTCAGCTTCATCATTAAGTCATGAGCCATAACTGGTGAGAATCAGCTCTAGGCTGATAAAAAGAATTCCTACATTTTTTTATCTCTCAGTTTACAAAAGATACTTTTTAATAAGATAGGAGAGTTACACTGAGAAATAATAATAAACTAGATTTACATTTTTAATCAATAGAGAATGTGATGCATATATTATAGACCTAAACTAGGTAAAAGGGTATTATATCAAAGGCTTGTTAGTCTTCCTTTACATGCAGCCAGCTCTGCAGTGGGTTTTTCAGAGCATCATGGAGAATACCCAGCATCAACTGACAGCTTGAAATACCTCTAGAAAATCTGGCTCTTCAAAAAAACCAAATCAGAACAAACTATACCCAAAAAAACTGCTCTATTAGGAAATGTAATGAGCAAAAGAAGGGTAGATAAAGCTAAGATCATAACACAAAGGGAGTTATTTGGGGCAGAACTGTCCCATCTTCTGTGCACATACTGCCAGGAGATAGCTGGGATACTGCCACTACAAGGTTAAGTGTAATTGTCCCAAGACAGCAATATTTTTTTTTTGTAGAATCCAGTATAGTTCCTCCTAATTCTCCAATGGCCGAGAGAACTGGTTTACTACTGCAGGCTCTCCTCTTAATTTTATGTCTCCTGATAAAAGAGACATATGTCTCCTCACAAAAGCAATCCTTGCCAGAGCACAGATCACTGTCACTGTGCTCTCTCTTTCCTGAGACTTCAACGTAAGTGATCTCAGGGCTCCTTTTTATCTTAATACTGCAAATTATTTCTTGAAGAGAATCACAAACACTCCTGAAGGCAAGGTATTAAAAAGGTAATATGCCCAACCCTCTGAGTATAGGACTCCAACCAAGCAACGAAACAGAAAAGAAAAATCCCTACTCTGATATTTAACATTGAAAGAGAAGGTTAATTCCAGTGTAACTGCACAAATTAAAGCATAGGGCAATATGACAGCAAGTTAATTCAAAGGCATTTTTTATACCAAATTACAAAAAATCCCCATGATTATGATTTAAAATCTGCTTCTCTTGAAGGGTAAAATAACTCTAGTTCAGTTTTCAATCTTCCCCTTTTTTTGCTACTTTTACACAAGTTCTCCATTGGATGAGGACAGCACAGAAATTACATGGAAACTTTTCTGTGTTCAACGTTTATATCTGCTACAACCAACATAAGTGGAAGAGAGATCAAGCAACAATAACACATCAAGTTGCTGCTAGAATTGTCATACACCTAAGAAAGATTCTCCTCAAGACCAAAGTGTTTAAGGGGATCTTTATGGAAACACTAGATAAATGAAAATCACAAGAAGAAACACAGCCTGTGTAAGGTGACTTCAGAAGGACTCAACTCATCAGAGGTTTGTACAGTTTATACTAAAAAACTGAGTAGACAGAAGGAATTTTTGACAAGTCTTCCAGTGTTCTTGCAGTACATTGCCAATTTTATGGGTGGAAGCATGAAGACAACTGTAATCCCTCTGTTACAGGCAAAACATCTGAGGGTCAGCATTTGAGAAAGCTTTAGATGCTTCACTACTTGTCACAGCGGTAGATTGAATTATCATGTCACAAAACATGGTAAACAGAACATGCTGCTTACAGTGAGCTGGTGATGAAGAGTGGGAGAATCTGGCACAAGCAAAAGGAAGAAATAATTTGGATAGAAAAGTAATTGTGGAGCTCCCACAGAAAACCATCGCAGATGTTCTGGGTAATTTCAGGTCTTGTCAATACAGAAACCAATCTACAACCAGCCAAGGGGAGGAGGCTCATTCCCTACAGCCACCAGGGGGCACCCATGGTTGTCTTGGCTGCATGACACTAAAGAGGTAGAGATAAAGCCATGCAAGGTTGGTTTGTCTGGGCTAATTTATTTTATTTTTGAGCTGTGGCACACACATTTCCTCCAACCATCTTATAGTGTACTGGTTAAACAGATGACAGGCTGATATTGAGTGTCTTTTACAAAGACCACAGACTGCTCCTAGAAGGAGCTGGGAATGTGGGAATAAACAAGGAGTCTCCTGGATGATATTAGTCCAGGGACATCTGAATTGTTGCAGCTCAATCACAGCTATAATAATGACCATATAATGAGTAACCCAAGAGACACTCCAAATCCAAAAAATAATTAAACTGGTAACATGCCAAAACAGAAAATGCAGTGTCAGTAGCTCAGCTGAGCATCAGTTAGCAGGCTAGAGATAAACACAGTATGCTGAGACTACACAATAAAATCAATACCAAAATATTGCAGAGTGAGCATCAAAGGAACCTTGAAATATGGTGAAAGTTTGATAATTTGTGCAAATGCATTGTGTTCCCAAGTCACTGTTTTCTGCACAAGCATGTACACCCCATTCTGCCCCAGAACCCAGATAATTAAAACTGTTACCTTATTCACACCATCTGCCATTGCTTGCAGCGTTAACTCTCTAGGTCCATCCACAGTCTTCCCATTATCAGTTGGTCCCCAGCTGGCACTATATATATCTATGATTTGAGGCATATGACTGATGGAGGAAGCCTCAATAATGTCTGTCATAAACGGCTGGTCGAGCATTCGAATACCTGTAGTTTTAATCAACATAAGCATGAAATATGCACTACCCAGCACAAAATGTAATCTCAGCACCTGCAGAAGGCCACCAGTTACAGATATTTTAAGTCACTGGCAGTTTTACCCATTCAATAATGCTACACTTGACATTCCCATGTCACCAGGGTGTGCTTACCCAGCAGGATGCCAGTATTAAACACTCAGCCACCAAGGCAGCACAGCCCAGACAGAAAAAGAACTTTATTGTTAGCTTTCTAATTACACCGTATGTTCCATCTAATCTCTGAGAACACTATAAAAATAACAGAATTCAGCAGTCTTAGAAATTCAGTGCTTAAATAATATCAATGGCATTTAATATAAGATTCTGTAAGCTAGCAAAAAAGAGGTCCCCTCCCTCATCTAACATTCAGTTTTGTGTTCACATGTCATTAGTTTTTCAAGTAATTTTTCTGTTTATTTGGGTGCATCTCCAGAATTTAATCAGAGGAGGGAAACATGCTACCCAGCAATTTCCTGGAAAAATATCATTCTGTCAACATGCAGATGCAATAGCAAAATACGGCCAGCATGTGGAGGAAAAAAGCAAAGTAAAACCCACTTCCTTTAACCCATATTGCAGCAGAAGTTTAAGAGTTTAAATGATACAATCTTAGGACATGTCAACTTCATAAAACCTTAAAGTGTTGACTCTAAGTGAGCCAGAGTGCAACAGACAGCAATGCAAGCCCTTACACCCATCGTACCTCACACATAGGACAATTCCAGTGACAGCCAACCTGTCACTTGGTCTCTGGATGAGACCTGAGTAACCAGGGATTCATTCCAAGCGTTATTTATATCCCCGAGTTGAAGTTCAGCTTTTCCCAATGGTTTAGGATAGAGACTGGGCAGAAATCAGTGCCAAACAGTGTGAATGGCAATAAGGATCCTGATTTAGAAGCCAGTGACTTTACTATGTTCAATAAAAAAACATTGTGTTTCAAATATAAGGCTGGAAAAAAGGTGGTATAAATTTCAAATAGAAATCAGACCAAAGCCAGATGTTCTTGATGGGCTAACTCAAGCTAACATGAAGTCAAACTCAATTGGTGAGAAATTGCTTCCCATACTTATAAAATGCAGATCTGCAATCAACAACCCATTCATTCTGCAAACATGACTCCAAACCATGACAGAAGCAGACCCTCAGTTTTCATGGACTTCCAGCGCCATGGACCACACAGTGGTGTTGCCAATGCATATTGTCCTCAGGCAGGGAAGGCTGGCTGGCACTTCCAAAAACTTGAGGGGATTTTAATGCAAAGTGGACAAACACAGAAGATTATTTGTTGGCTGTTGGTCACCAGAAATACTGTCAAGCCTCTTGATTTTTAAGCAACCAGCTTGCAGTTTTAGGGTTATATGAATAATACGGACATGGTCCAGACAAAATCCCATGTCTCAATTCAGATTCCTCAAAGAGTAACTCTTGAAAGAATGTAAATTTTGTGGAATGTCCCATCCCTGAAGGAGATGTTACCCTTCCTGAAGAAAGGAGATATTTATTAGACCTGCCCAGTCAGTTACTAACTCTCACTGATACTTCTTGAGTAAGAGCTTAGCAAACATTGCTTGGTGCTCTTCTCTGGTGGAGATTCAGCTTTCAGTCATGTAGGTGACAGGTGAAATGTGGCCTTCCTCAGATTCTCCTGACACTACAGCAAAACAGGAACTGGCCAAGCAGAGCAGCACTGTCCATGTACACACACTGTGGACCATCGCCGAGAAGCAATGGGTGATGCTCTGGTGTGGATTAGGGAAAGTAAAGTGAAATTCATAAGCATCTATCTCTGCCTGCTGTACCTCAGTTCTCATCATGGAACTGTCTTAAGAGTGGGAAAACAGGATTTCTTCAGATTCAACTAAACTGACACATGGTGTGGAGAGCCTAACTCACTCCAAGCACTGTATTCGGTATATATGTGCAGAGAAGAGCTTGTTAGAAGTAAAAATACTCAAGGTGTGGATGCTGAGTGCTAAGTACCACCTGTTTCATTCTCTGCATCTGCTTCTATCACACTGCATCACTGTTAAAACAGAGGAAAACTACAACCACAGAGATATACAGCTCTGCAGGTCCTGCCCTGTGAGAGCCTAAAGAGTAGGAGCAGCATAACATTGGCCTTTTCAAATGGTTTTTAAGTGCAGCAGAAATTGATACTTTACCTCCTGCAAAATGAGATTTGGCACAAATAATTCTATAGCTACGCAGGGAAGAAGCACTGAAAATCAGCATACAAACAGGAGCTGGCATATGAAGGAGCAGAGCTGCTCTTTAGCACTGTTATTAAAAAGCCTTTATTTATAAGGCCCTTGATTGAAAAGGCAAAGCCAGGGAGAAATTTCTCTCTCCAGCTACTGTGAAAAGTAATAAATACATGGTCCAGCACCAATCTGCAGCCCTTTCGTGAGCAACACCCTCTGTCTCTGCAGGAGGAGCTCTGCCTGAAGCACAGTGGGCTATTTACACCCTGGATTGCTACCATACCTGCCACTTTGGAATTGTATGCAACTCCCACACCGCAGATGTTGTTGTTGGCAGCAGCAGACACCTCTCCTGCACACCTTGTCCCGTGGCTGTGAAAAGGAAGGCAGAGAGACCAGATGAACCCCAGCTAATGCACGTGCTGAGCTGAGCTGGATCACTGTGAACTTGTTTTGCCTCAGTCAGCTCCCAGTGCTGCAGAGGAAAACCATTCAATGCAAAACTGTTGAGTGCTGAATACTGGCACGTGTTCATTCCTTGCTGAAGCAGGCAATATCCAGTTTCCCCTCTGCAGGACGAGTGAGGCTTGCTCTGAGGTTAACATGTATCTCTACACTGCATTTAACTGTAAAGTTATTCAGGCCTTTTCATTTTAGCTTGTGAGACAGGTTCTGCCTCATTAACAAATCTTAGGCTGACAGAACACCATAAATATAAAATCAGTATTAGTTCCTTTATTTTTGCATCTTGATACCATGACACCCATTACTTTGAACCTTATGGAACAGTCTGGCTGCCTTTTTGCTGTCTGAACATGTACAAAGAGCATATCCCTGCCCACAAAATAAATGCTACAGGAAGAGGTGGGTGCAATACCAAGCTGGAGTAGGAGAAGTGAGCCACAATGGTCACTGCACTCCTCAGCAGCAGAGCTGCACATGGCTGGCCAGGTGCAAAGCTGTGGGACCTAAGGCACATGCATCCCTCTCATCCAGTGCCTGATTCCCAAAAGAGCTGACAAGGTGCTCCAGCTCACAGAGCAATTGCTTTCTGCTCAAGTGGGAAAAGTCTGCTTTGATACAGAGGTCCAGGTTTGGGCTGACACATGGTATTTCAATAATACCTGGTGTCTATGAAGTGCTTTACAGCTCTTAATAGAGACTCTTTAGCTGTAGTGGCATTTACTGGCACCACTGGCAGTGGCGCCTGCAGGAAGGGAAATTGCATTTTCCTTTCTCCTAATTCATCCTAGAAATTAAACTCAAGAGAAAAGAAATGCAGACAATATAACCTAGTTTTTTAAAAAAAGCATAGCAGCAGGGAAATTACTGAAACCTGCGCTGCTGTCAGGGTTTTTTTTAGTCTAAGATGTTGAACCAATATATGACTCCATCCTACTGCTCACATCAATCCACTCTGAGCATTGAAACTGGCACTGATTCTACAGCATACTAAGGATTCATGCAATTCAAAATGCTGTATTATAAAGGTTATACTGAGTACAGATGGACCATCCTGGGAGGCAGCAAAACTGTTTTAATCAGCTTTTTTCCCTCTCTTTCCCTTTATGGGTGTCTGGCAAAGATAGCGTAACATTAATAAAAAGATAAGAAGCAAGACATACTTTTTCCTGCTCTACTTAGGAGAATATATTTTTAGAGGCAGTTCCATAAAGAGAGATGACAGAAGATCTCATCCGCTTCCTTTTACCAAAGGGGGCAGAGAAGACAGAAATACAGATTTGTTATTCAGCTGCTACAGAAATTTCTATCAACAATCAAACAACAAGATTTTCCCTCATGATCTTGCTCAAGGAAGTGTGACAGAAGTACAACATTCATTGGTAGGTGCTAGCAATGCTAGGCATTCAGTATCTAGTCACCTATGGGCCACCTACAAGGCACAGAGAAGAATAAATAGCTTTGTTCAAAATTGGTTTGACTAATGCTGGGGTGCAAAACATCACTGATGCTGCCAGATTACAGTGAGAAAAACTGTATTAGGACCTTCCTGACAAAAAAGTTTTACCAGAAGGTCCTCTCCAGAGCAGTGGCCCACATATTGGAGACTAAACAGGCCTATTCCAGCAGCTCAGAGTTTCAATATTGTGCTGCTGACTAGAGAGAAAAAAAAATCACTTACGAGTTCATGGAAATGCATTTGGTTGAATTATTAATGGCAAATAGCAGACTTTTCCAACTCAGACCTATTTGCTGTTCATGTATCATTGATAAACCTTTGTGGTTTCTATGAAGTGACTCATGTCAGAAGAACAAATCACAGCCTTTCTCTACAGTGTTCACCTCTTCTCTATTTTGTTATTTAACAAAGGGGAATAAAACATAAAATATTTTCATCTGTGAACAAGCTACTTCAAAGGTAAACCATATATTAGCAAGTAGAGCAAGTCTTGCATAAACTTTATGTAAGTGAACACATTTTATGTGAACATGCATAGAAAAAGTAAGGGGAAAAGTGGATTTAGTTGAAAAACAGTTTTGCATACTGTATTTTAAAAAATACCTCTATATTAGCTACAAAAATTTCACTCTCCTTTGTCTTTGAAAATAATTCTGTTTTAAAATCCATTGCCAATGGTCCTGTGCGTACCTCCTTACTGATGTCTTTTTGAAAGTGTCAGAGGTGGCACAGATTTTTCTTGAGGTACCTTGTCATCTGCTTTGAAATGCTTCTGCAGACAGCAAAGGATAGGACCCATCCATCCTATCTTCAGCTGTTTGCAGGGGAGGGCTATGCAGAGCTGCAGTCTCAATAGCTGGGACCATCTGCCTTTCTTGACCAGTTTAGCTGCGTGCATTGGGCAGCAATTAAACATGCAGAGCTCAGATGGACACTTTGTGGGGCAAATGCAATCCCCTTTTTACTCACATGATGTTGTCAGCCTCTAAGCATTATTTTCAGAAGGGAAAGCATTCCCCTACTTTGGTTTGGATCCACAGTTAGCAAAAGATTCTGACATCTGAAGAATATAGGTTTCCAAAATAGCAAATAAATTTTTCCCTGCTAACTCAATAGCTGAGTGAGAGAATATAGAGAATACAAAAGTCATAGGAGCAGAGATAATTACTGGTAATTTAGATCAGGGCAGAAATTTGTAATCTCATTGCTCTGAGTTGGAAAGCCCAAGTTATGCCTTCTGCATGCTCACAACATGAAATCAGACAGTAGTATGAGGCCAATTCCTATAGCTACCGCTTCACTGCAAAATGTGGTACATGCCAAGGTACTGAATGTGGTTCAGAAGGAGAGGGTGATCAAAATCAGTCAGTTCCCAAAGTGGTTCTTAGAAAACACTGAGTTCTGTGGGGCTGCCTCTCGTTTTGGGAACAGGGCTTGATTCAAGTTCCTGCACTGCTCCCACTGCTCCTCAGGCTCAAGCACAACTCTGTTCCACGTTGAACCAAGCATACACTCTCCTGCTGGGTCCCCAAGCTGTGGATCTAAACACAGTCAAACAGTGAATACAGCAAACATGAGAATAAACCCCTTGGCTGCCAAGCCATCTATTGGGCCTCTGCCCACAGCAGCAGCTGAACTGCGTGATAGCAATTTCCTGCCTGAGGCACCATCCTTCCCTTCCAAAAACCACCCTGCATGGTTTCATAGGCCAGTGGCTGTTAGATGGAAAGGCCAAAGTGATTCCAGCAGTCTTGCAAGGCCCCAAATGGAAGGGGAATTTGTGCTTACCAGCAGAGCAGCTGTGAATAATGGAATACTCCATGCAAAAACCTCTCCTATTTATTCTTAAAGTCTAATGAACACATTCCACATGCAGCTGGCAGCTCACAAAAGCCCCTTAGTGATCACTCCTCTGCTTCTTGTTCCACAAAACACTTGAATTGCTCACATAGAAATGTATTTTTTATATGTTCTTTATCCTATTTCAAGTCTGATACTTTTGCATGCATAAAATTCGATGGGAGATGCATCACTGGCTGTGCAAAATGGAGCCTTTATTTCAGGTTTCTCTCAATAGATATTCCATGTAATGATGGCCTATCCAGATGCACCAGTGTAGCTACACGTAGGGACAGACTGTCAGAGGCAGACAGCTGTTACCTACCAGTGACACTAATTCAGGAGTCAGAAGCCATGGCAAGAGCTTATAGAGGAGTATGTCAGCTCAATTAACAGAATAGCAAAGAAATACGCAGAGAAAACAGTCACAGCTACTCCTGCACAGCTGGATATGGTATGCTTGTTTGCATTTTAACCTGCAGAAAACTAAGAATCTTGCATCTTAAATCCTTCCTTATACTATGAAGGCAGGAAAGGGATGCTCCACTGAATGTGTTGCTCCCATGATTTACCTTGCAAGACAGAAAATTCCCTGTCTTGCAAAAGAAATCTGAAGGTTCATCGTATCATAGAGTGGTTTGGGTTGGAAGGGACCTTAAAGATCATTTAGCTCCAATCTCCCTGCTATGGGCAGGGATGCCACCCATGAGATAAGGCTGCTCAGGGCCACATCCAGCCTGGTCCTGAACACTTCCAGGGATGGAGCATCCCAATATGACTAACGTTTATTGACAAACAATGTTATACTTCCTAAGTATCAATTTTATTTTTTTCTGAACAGAAAGAACAGTAAAGGATATCTCTGTGGTTTTCCCCCTCCTATTGCTGACCTGAACTCTCCATTCACCCAAGAAACAGAGGAAACTGATGCAGTTCTATGACAACCTGAATCATGTTGTTCTCAATTATCACAGACTGGGTCACAAACAATAGTGCTGCTCACCCTCAATGCTTCACTGAAGCGCTTGAAGTTAGTCAGGGGCACCTGGGACCAGAAACAGTAACCCCTGCCACATCTGGAATGTTTGAGGTCTATTCAAAGAGACTTTGGCATATAACTCTCCCTCCAGGGAGAGTTTACTTTGGCGAACAGGTAAGGACAGCAAAATGGGCCCCACTATAAAATACTTGATAGCAGCAGAATCAATGTTAATGGGACTTGGCAGAACATACCCAATTTTATGAAGTTCCACACTGAAAACAACAAAAGCTACCATTACACACTAAAGCTAATTTTAATTTTCTTCCTCTCCAGAGCAAAGTGGTATCTTTCTCCTAAAAAGAACCTTCACATAAATAAAGCAAGAAAGTCAGCAGACCTTCACAAATTAGAGCCCTAGTCTTTCTGTGACTTTCCATTCACTAACTGGATTAATACTGCTTTAAAGGTGTCAGAGGTCCTTTCACAAAATGAAGCAGAAGTCTCACTGAGATCTTGCTTTGGCCGAAAAATTGCAGGACTACAAAGAAGGATATCACAGCTCCTAACTCTTTTTAATCCATTCCAGGAGGCCCGTATCTGAGGTAGAAGCACAGCTGCTTCTTTGTTGTGTCACTCTGACAGAACTACAATTGATTTCTTTAGAAATAAAAACAAAAACCCCCATCCAAAACTAGGAGACCATCCAGTCACCCTAAGTCAGAGATGAAAACCACATCAAATAGGCCTGAAATATTTTTTGATAAGCACTCACTCTGAGCCCTGAAATCTTTAGAAAGTTTTCAACAAAAAGTTATTTAGCCATCACTTATCCAGACAATCCAAAAATATACTTTTCTGGAGCAGCAACATCATTTATAAACTATAAACGTAAAAAAATGACGTTGTAAATAACCTCTAATTTTCAAGCAGCAGTGAGACTGCAGTGTCTGTTCTGTGATGATTGAATTTAGCAGAAAACAGACATTTCACAAAAACACAGAATTTCTTACACAATCCAAAGTGAAGAGCAGGCTGCCCACAATCCATTTACCTGTTAAACCAGTCATCTGTATAGCGGGGATAGGGGTAGGGATCATTGCTGCTGAAGTCATAGCTGGCTTTGGCATTCTACAAAACACAAGGAACACAGAAAATCAGCGGAAGAACAGACATGAAGTGAAACACAAATTGAATGAAAAGCTGAGAATCAATAGCAAACTTCATTCTGGGAGATGTATCTGGACAGAAACCAGTCCCTACAGTGCTGTGGCATTTCCCATTTTGCACACCAGCAAGCATAGGGAGCAATGCTTTCTGGCATGCAAAGCCTCCTGTAGACAAGCATGGTCAATTGTGAGATGGTGTGAGAGATCAAGTTACTACTGGGCATCAACATCAACACTTACAAGAGTATTCAGGTATTAAACTACTTGCTGTGGCAAAGCAAAGGTTAAATCCCATTTTCCAAATGGTGGAGGAAGTGACAAGACACCTGGGTCTTCCAGAAAAGAAGTATTCTTGAAAACCTCCTTTGTGACACTACAACAGTAAGATTTCTAAAAGCATTTCAATGCCTAAGAATGTACATTTCTCAAAATTCAACTGTGAAAACTGCATTAATGGCCAGCACATATACCCGAAAATCTCTTTGCATATTTTCTCATTCCTTTGTCTGAACAGCTTCACAAATGTGGCTTTCAGGCACTTCTCAAAATGTCATCCCATGTCTCTGCTTTCTATATAAATCTAATTTATTCCTGACTTGTCCTATCAGCAGTTAAGGACATTCAGCAACTTTTTCATATGAAGCAAATAGAAAGTTTCAGAAAGTCAAGTGCCATCTCCTTTTTTCCCTCTTAATGAAAAAATAAAGGGTGTCTGAAAATTAGGCTTTTAAAAATATTTAGCAGTTTCCTCTCAAGTGTATGTTCATTGAGTTTATGTTTTAATAATCATCATACTCAAGAAACTGAATTATGTTAATTCTCAATTAATGTGTACTTGTATTCCATTTAAGATTTGGCTGAGCATGCTATTGAAGATAATTTGAGATTTTTGCATGAATAGCTTTGCTCCTAAAAACATTCCCTTTCATCTGAATTTCAGTTCCCGATATACAGGAATAGACAGCCCATTGGTAGCACCCAAGTTTTGGATTCAAACCCTTAAACTCCCAAAAACTTGTTCCAGGATGAAATGAGGATAACATTGCCCCTGATACTGAGAGGGCAAAACTAAGTGTCTTTCAAGTTATTGTACAGTGGGGTTTTTTGGGTGGTCACTTCAAAGCCTGGTTGCTTATATACAGCACAGACAGTAAATATTTTTCAGCATTTGAATGTAGCAGAGATTTTCAGAGTGGCTCTCAAATGACTTAATGCTGTCTTCCAGCTCAGAGATTAATTTCTTCTTGAGATCCTTACAGATCTCTCCATATCTCCACGCTAAGGCCCTGATTTTCAGTCCGAAGATGCCTTCCAGTCATGTCAGCTATAGCTACAAATTCTCAGTGCTTCTAAGTCTTTGTGCCCAAGTGTCTGGGTAATTTGTTTATTTTAATTACCCCAACTGCTTATACAGCACTTTCAATGGCAGAGGTTTGCATGAGCTAAGAGTAAACAGAACATCACTTTTCAGCCAGGGAAAAAAGGGGAATTTGACATTTGTCTATAATTCATGACTAGTACTGAGAAGATGGACAAGCAGTTATTTTTTACTACTTCTCATAATTTAAGAAATTTACATTACTGAGGGGGAGATTTAAAAACATCAGAAAACAAGTACTTTTCCACAGAACACTTAATGAATTACAAAATTCACTGTCACAGATACCACACAGACATACTGCCAACTTCATATTCACTCAGAACTTCTGCTTCCGCTCTAAAAATATTGTACAAATGAAGATCTACACTCAGTCATGTGTCAACTGTGTTTTATTTTCCCATTTAGTAGAAATGCAGTCCCACTTACATACCCTAAGCTCAAAGGGAGTCTGGTAAGGCTGACTTTTCAGGACATCATCAAATATGCAAGCACCTTGTAGCAACCACTCTTGACTCTAGAATTCCCCTGTGCATAAATTAAGGCTGAAAAGCCCTTCTAGCTGTGCTGGTGTACCACTCATGTTCATAGCAGTGACAGACAAAGGGATTCCAGCCTGAACGATTCAGACACCCTACAGCAAACTGCAGCCCTACTGCAGACCCCAGGTAAGGCAGCTTATGGAAAGATACCTTTAGGCAGGCTATCAACCAAGTTGTTTAGCCAGATCATTGAGCTCTCATTTGCTTCATTTTGGATCACAGCACTCATAGGAAAAAGATAACTAATGGAGGGGGAACCATCAACAAAGGGAAAAATTAAGAAGTCTTGGAAAGAAAACAACTGCTAACTGAGCAATTTATCTTCATTAGGATCTTTGAGGAAAGACAGTGAGTTTCAGCATTGTGAAGGAGTATTTCACACACTATGGAAGCAGTGAAATGGATAATGAAACAGCAGAGAGAAGTACAAATGGACTGCTTCAAGTTCCTAATTTAAAGATTAAATCCACAAATACCTAAGCCTTAGCTTTTGTTAATTATTTTTAAGCAAAACTAAGAAATTAAACAATTTTGGAATTGTACCACAAAGGGAACTGCCTGAGTGGACAGCTTAAATATTTCATTTTGTGTTTTGCGAAGTGAATATTAAAATCTGTGTTTTGCCGTTGTTCTCCATAGGCTGGAGTCCCCACTAGGCAGCAAGAGGGATTTTATTGCTAACATGGAGAATTAATTAGCATAGGAATCCGTGAGGTTGCAATCAAAACCAGTGCAGATGAGGATCCACAATAGCATGCTGAAATGGGAACACTTTGCTTTTCCACTCTGGTGATTCAGTGCCCTGTTTTCTTGCCAAACTAGTCTACTGGCAGTTCCTTCTCTTAGACTTGAAGTGTTTAACACTTGATTTTCAATATCTAAGGTAGTTGCTTGGTTTTCAACCTTGGGGAGAACTTGAGCCTCCAACCTCAAGCACTGGTCTGGCCTTAGACCAGTCAATGGCACTGGGTGTTACAATGAGGTGAATCTAATCCCTCATGTTCAATCAAAATCAGTTCATTGCTGCAGAGTGATTTCATGTTTATCAGTCACTATCTATACACAACTACATTCAAATATTATCTATTATATAATAAAAAAGCTATTACAGAGAGGAATGGTATTGCTCTTGAAGGAATATCTCTATTTTTGCCTTCTAGCCTCTACACTAAACAAAATACTAACAGAAGAGTATCAGATCTAAGGATGAGACCCTTTCAATAATTTATTAAGTAATGGCATGTATACCATGACAGAAATAGATTACTTTTGCCTCTGTATAAAATTCTGCTTTCCTTAAAAATAACCTTAGACTAAAATTTCCCAAAGAATTGTCTTGTACCTTTTCAAACACATACAGTAAAATCATCTGTGCAAAAAATTCATAATGCAAAATATGACACTAACAATAAATCAGTTGTCCCATGAGTTGTTCAGCACTGTAATAAAATTATGTACCTTGAATAATGCAGTAAGCTCATAAATTTTTGTCTTACTTCAAAAGCTTCTGCAGCGTAATTCACATACACTTTCCTTTTTCTCTGTAAGTCAAGAAATATGCCTATGCTCACATGCTAGTGCAGGAGACAAAGCCACATCCCACTGGTCACAGGCTGATTCTATTAATGACATTAAAGTCCTGTACTAGATCTGAGGCAGCAAGATACCTTTTTTTTTGTTTGATTTCTTTACTGATCCAAAGAGAAAGCAAAGTCATGAAGTCCAATTACAACATAAAACATCTCAGGGAAACTGTACTAAAATAAGTCTGAAGATCATGTGGTGGCAAAATGAAATTCAGTTTTGTACACACAGGCTTAAATAAATGGAATATGCTCACCAAAAGGTGAAAGAGGAGACAACATATTTAACCTAGGAGAGATGCTGCAAGGCTAAAAGATCATTAAGAAAAAACCAGAGACACTGCTGCTGAGTCAGCCATTGTACAATAAGCCCTCTCCTCTCTGCCATGGGAAGCACACTTTTATTTTGGTTTGGTTTGTGGGGATTTTAAAATGGAAATGAAAAAAGCTCTGTAACTTTTTAAATGCCTCTGCCTCTTATGAACTAATGTACATGTCCTATATTTCTATCCAGCAAATTCAGTGCTGTTTTGAAGACCATGTAAACACCAAGAATATATCCACAAAGTAATGGGTTTTGTTCAAAGATATTAATCTTGAAGAGCAAATTCAAAACTGGTGACATTTGCCATGTCTCCCCAGGAACTGCAGCCTTTTACCCACTTCTTATAGGTACATCACGTAAGTAAAAATACTGAGCCAGACAACACAAGCCAGATATTGAATAAGACAGCAACACACTTCCCTGCTGTTCTTTTCAAAACAGCCACAGAATAATAAATCAGAACATCATTTGAAATTGATGGGAGTTGTGTCCTGGGTCCAGAATAGTATCTGAGGTGCCTGTAAGTGCTCCTGGTATTCCAGTTCCAGTTATTCAGTACAGGCTCTACTTGGCCACAGCATGAGCAAGTAAAGAGCTCACTACAACAGTGATTTCATTTTGTAGTTATTTCTGAAAAAACCTTCAATTTCCTCAGCAATCACCAAGCATCTGGGTTAGGCCAAAGGAAAAACTAGGGCAGTTATAGTCAAAAGAAGATAAACTGACTGCAAACAAGTTTCTACTGCTTCATTTACAACAGTTAAAATTGTTGAGCTTATAAAATGTAAGAATTCTAATAATCCAGCTTCAGAGTTTATAGGAAGACAAGTTGGCTGTGCCCCACTTCTTATCTAACAACTTACTTTGCAAAGCTGAAAGTTTTTCAGTTCTTAGATTTAAGAGCAAACAAACAAAAAGGCAGTTGAAAAAAAACATGGAGTCTCACTTTAACATTTGCATTTATCTTCATTAAGGTAGCATTATTTTTAAAGTTACAGTTATGAAGACAAATAGCTTTGCTGAGGTCATATCACATTGTATTCTTATTCTATATTAAACAGATTTCTTTGTCAAGTAACTGATGATCCTCTCTACATATCACTTAGCACTATAATGTCACACAATCACTTATTT